AACACACTCGCACGCACTCTCTCTCTCACACACGCACATGCACACACACACATACACACACAGACAAACGCGCTGAATGAAACAACCATGTGAGTCTACAGGGCAGTGACCTGTAGTCGCTTTGGTTGACATGGCATAATAATAATAATATCCAAAGAAAACAAATTTTACTCTTTAGATATGTGTTGCTTTCCACTTCAGTTTTTCTTTTTAATGTAGGTATCTAGCTGCTTTTATGCCCCCCATTTTTTCTCTGTATTTTGTTTAGAGTAGTTTTACATCAACTCTTGGTTTGCTTGGTCAGGTCATATTAGGTGTCTTTTTGCGTCTCTGTGCTTAGATGTTATGACCAGAACTGGGTCGATAGTGCCGTAAAAACACCTACTCGGTCAATCAATCCATCCTTCAATCTTAGACTTAGATCTTAACTAGGCGAGACTAGAGACCGAGAGGCTGTTTCTAGCTTCTGAAATCCCGACTTGGCTTGGCTACAGTCCTTTCAGTTGCATGGAAAAGTGCAGACCCAGTTGTAGGACAAAATGATATTTTGGTTGATACAACTAAGCCTACATAAACATTTTGGGAAAAAAAGTTGCTAACACTCATGAGAGTGTACCGACCAATATAACAACTTACTTAACCCTATCCGTACGTTGTGTTTTACTATGGTATCCATACGACGTGGGGAACTCGGTACCACAACTTTCCAAAGAGGAAATTTACTCGTTAATCCGACCCGTACACTTTGCATAGCAGTCTGTCAAAATGATTTTTTGAGTAATACTGAACGATTCAAAAGAGATCTTCGCACTAAAAGTATTTTAAAATATGAAGAATACAACCCCTGAGATACAAAATGACCCCAGGGCGTACGGAGAGAGTTACAAAATTTGGAAGCCAAAATGACGGGGTGCCCACTACGGATGGGATCGGCCGATAGGCCGATCGGCTGACTCGATCGCCTTAAAAACAAACGTGTTTATTTTCAGTTTCAGGTGATCGAGTCGGGTGATTGGAGTCTTACTAAAACTAAACTAAAGGGTGATCGGCCCGATCCAGCCGTAGTGGGCACCCCGTGCTGTACACTTGTTGACTCGTCTGTCGCGTTGTTTGTAAATGTCGCTCTATATGTCATGTAGCTGTGCTATGTCTGGTAGGACTCTTTGGTCTGGGGTGTCCCTCTCCACGTGGGCTCTTGTGGTCTTGAAGTTTAGGTGTTCGCCTCTTATTCAATGACAACAGGTCCCAGGCTCGAATCCGGACATCGATGGAACATTTTCTTCTCTAAATGTTTTTCTTTCACATCCGTTCCTGCACCCTAACAATGGTCTGTCGTCTGCTTTCGTCTCCACTTTCTGCCCTCACACCCTCACCTCATTGCCCCTCCTCTGGGCTGCTTTACTCTTTCTGTAGCCTTTCTACTCCTACTCATTGGCTCCTTCTTACTTCTGTCTTTCAGTACTTACAGTCAGATACCTAGGCCGAAGGGCTAGAACCAAGATGACTGCTGGATTGGAAAAGTCAAGTCAATATAAAGCAGTCACACACCAGATCTTATCGTAGGTAAGATCTAATATGGGGCCTTCTCGGATAAGGGCAAAGATTCTCAGAAGTCCCGTGTGCAAGTTGCGCACGTAAAAGATCCCTTGGTCCTCAACTGATAATGTATAATATGTCCCGCGCGCTCATTTGACTGTATGCAGTTGCGAGCGCCGTAAAACACTTACCTTAAAACTTAAAAAAAAACCTCTTCACGTGACTGGGTGCCCGTGACATCATTCACGAGAAGACGCTTCGAAGAATTGAAGTTCCAGATTAACGTATGCCAAAGAAGGTAAGTGTAGGGTTTCAACAGTGCAAAACAAGTTATTGTGTATTTGGGACTTGAGACCCCCCCCCCCTCAATTCTGAAATTAGTGTTAGAATCGTCTATTTCTTCGCATGACGTCACGGCAACCCTCATATTATGTGTGTTTGTGTATGTATGGATTCTATTGTGAACCAAGCTTCCACACGACCTTCAAGAGCAAAATCATTAATTATTTATTTCAGTTTACTTTCCAATAAAGCGTACTCGAGGGTACACAATATCAAAATACATTTACATCTTGTCAATAGCCCAGTGGAGAAGGTTTTGTTTTGTTTTTTTTCTGGGGATTTTTGAGGGGGGGGTTTTGGTAAGTGCTTTACGGTCATATGAGCGCGCGGGACATATTAAACTTTTTCAGTTGGTAGGAAATTTTGAAATTTGCCCTGGTGGCGGCCGAAGCCTACTCTTATCGATTTTAGACCAACAAGGGATATTTAACGTGCGCAACTTGCACACGGGCCCTACGAGATTTTTCGCCCTTGTCCGAGAAGGCTAGGTGTAGATCCTTCCTACCAGAAGATCAGGGGTGTGGCAGAAAGACAGCTGTAAGAAGGAGTCATGGAGTAGCAGTAAAAAGGCTGCAGAAAGAGTCAGGAGCCCAGAGTAAGGAGGTGAGGGGGTGGGGGCAGAAAGAGGAGACGAAAGCAGACGACAGAACATTGCTAGAGAGCATTACAGGAGGTGAAAGGAGACAGTTTTGGAGAAGAAAGTCTTTCGGTCGCAACCCGATTCGAAGTCGGGGCCTTTGAGTGAGAGACCAACACTTTAACCTCTAGACCACGAGAGCCCCCACGGAGAAGGTTTACTATAAACTATGTCACCATATCAGAGATGATGCCCATATTTCGAGTGACGTTGGTAACCTTGTGGTTAGGCCACCTGAGTAGGCGGTTGGCGGGTGCTTTGGCGTGGTTTGCTTCTTCTTTCCTATCAAACATCTATCGTCTTTATCTCCCCTCCTCCTTTTTGTGTTTGTTACTCTTTTGCAACACCTCTAACTCTAATCTTCAGCACTTACTTTATGTGAGGCAGCGTGGTGAAATCAGGCTCTCGTCAAAATAATCAAAGTGAAGAAACTTGCTTTTTTTCTGTTGGTTTGTGAATTTTTATCAAATTTTTGTTTTTTGGGTCACTTCCTTTCATGCCTATTAAAGAACTCAATTTTCTGAAAAATATTGATTAAAGGCACAAAAAATGTAAATTTTCAGTTACCACGGACTCTTAAGCTAAGGAAATAACTATTCTTTGGCTGACATTTTCTCAATAATTTTACCCCTGAAAACAGGTGACACCCACCTCCTTCATTCGCAAATATCTCGACTTGTATTCAAGATAAATGGGTATATTTTACATCCTAATAAACACAAGTGAACAAGCTTTACGATTATACCAATAACTCTACATGCCCAAAAATTAACGAGAGCCTGATTTCACCACGCTGCCTCATCTGTTACCTTATTATGTTGCAAGTGCCGTCAAACACTTACTAAAACTAAACAATTAAGACCACCGGTGTCGTAGTCGTGAAATTGCGGGTT